ACTCATATGAAACACTGAAACATTTGATACGGCATTTGAGTCGTGTGAGTAAGAAATGTGATGTGAATTTGATGGAACCAAAGAATCTGGCAATCATATTCGGTCCATCGATTATACGCACACCAAACGATACGCTCGAGATAGCGGTGAAAGACATGAAGCATCAGTGTCGCATTGTAGAGCTGCTCGTGACGCAGGTGAGCATATATTAAAGAGAGAGCGGGTATATAAACAATATGTATGTCGGCTTTAATTTCTCTTTTACTATATTTTTCTATAAGCATATGCTATTTCGCCAAAGCCAAACGACGCCTTGTACATACAAATGNAATGCAAAAGCAGCAGCTGCAGCAGCGGCGTCGCAAAGCCGTGCCCACTATTTATGATTTTGGGCTAACATTGCGTGTACAATTTCAGTCACTGGATTCCACCAAATCTGCTACGACAGCGATGACCACAAGTAGCAGTTCAACAAATGCTACTACAGCGTCGTCAAGCAGCAGCAGCGTCATTACCTCCACTCAAAAGACGAAAAAGGAGCGTAGCTTCCTTATCAATCACGGCAGTGGCGGTTTTGTGCGTTTGCACCATAGAAAAGCCAGTCTGGATGAGAAGGACTCAGGCAGCTGTAGTGGTTCGGGTAGTGGCAGCGGAGGCAGCATGAGCAAGGAACAACAACGCAGCAGTGTCGATATATCCGTGCTGCTGACAGATGATGAGTCGAGCAACAGTCGAAGCGACACGGGTAAGTGATACAATTTTCGTTTATAATTAAAACTTTGCTGGATGGGAGCGAAATATTTTATATATATGTACATATCGCACATTTGCTGAACGAGTGTCATAATCCTAAAAATCAAAAACTCGAGAAAAACGGCTTTAAAGTTTTGAATTTACATATCGTTTTCTTAATTCACAAAGGTCCTAACCAACACTTTTTTCGAAACTGAGCTTTTCACAGATTGCAGTAGAATACATTAAAATACACCTTCATTGGAAAGTCTTAGTACCAAAAATCAAGGAGATGGCATACATTTTTAAAATGTCATATCGGTATGCACGATTTGGTTTTTATAATGTTTTTTGCTTCTCCTGTAAAATAGAAAATTTGCTGGTTAGGGCCTTTGTGAATTAAGGTAACGATACACTCCCATAGTAAAAATTAATACATATGTATATACAGTGCCGAACAAAAGTATTGGAACAGTGAATTTTTCGCCGTATATGCAAAGTTTTTAATTCTAATTTATTTTCGATAATTTTTTATAAAAATATTGTTCATCTACACCAGAAAACATAATAATAAAATCTCTAAACTTTGTGCAGAAGCTCAGGAAAATTCATTAAATTTGCACACTAATTTGCAACTTTTTATTCAGATTTTTTAGAAAAATACTCAGTATCGCAGTTTTATAGCCCATTCAAATTTAGTATAACAAAGTGCAAGTTTGAAGTCGCCAGAAAATCGTATTGATTTTTGGTAATTTTTTTAGCGGAAGGTGTTGCTCATTTTCTCCATACAAAAAATAATTCTAATTTCTAAAAAATCTGAATAAAAAGTTGCAAATTAGTGGGCAAATTTAATGAATTTTCTTGAGTTTTGACAGAGTTTAGAGACTTTGTTATTACGTTTTCTGGTGTAAAATGAACTATTTTTTTATAAAAAATTATCGAAAATAAATTAGAATAAAAAACTTTGCATATACGGCGAAAAATTCAATGTGCCAATACTTTTGTTCGTCACTGTATGTACACAGAAGAACAGGTAGCGGTCAATTCTGCATACCTAACTCCATTTAATTTATTTATTTTTTTGGTTTTATGACACTCTTGCAGCAAATGTGCGATATGTATATGTGTAAAAAAATACAAAATTCATACTTCCAGGGTCCATGTCTCTCACGACCATCACAGACACGCTGGATTCAAAATTGCGCAATCTGCGCAGCGGCTCTGAGTCGAACGATGAAAATGGTTCGCCAGAGTTTCGCAAAAATCGACGGCACACCCTTGGTCAACCGCTGCATCTGCATTCAGAAAACATTCCCTACGCCGACGAATCACCTGAGCGTCATTTTCATTCCTGCCCTTTGGATGCACCCAACGTGTTAATGCTCAGCCGTTCTTGCACCGCCACCAACACATTGGCCTCGGCGAAAGCGCATGAGACCAAAGAGCAGCGGGTGGCAGCGGTATTGTCAGCATACAAAAGCAACAAACTGCAACATTCGGCCACTGTGCCCATCAATCCTGGTTCGACCACAACCATCGTGGGTAGCGGCAGCATACCATCCACTGCGGCATCAACACCCACCGCTATTTTGACGGTAAAAACGACGAGCACACAAGGCGGCATTGGCGTCGGTGGCAGCACAAATGTTAGCAGCGGTGGTAGTGGGGGAAACTTAGCGCGCAATTCCTATTTGGGACGTGGCACACGATTTTCCAAGCAAGTCTACGAGCAACAGTGTTGCTCGGACGATGATTCCGAAGGTTCGACAACAAGTGACCCAAAGGATTCGCTCATCATAGCATCACCGCCGTTTTTTCTAGATCGTTACAATAAGAAACGACGCGATCATCGGCTTTTCCGCTCCGCTTCTTTCAATTGCCGCAATTATTCGTCGTCGTCGGGCAGACACAGCAGCAGTGGCGGGCCGCATCACAACACTGGCGGCTCAGCATCAGCGTTGACAAAAGATGAAAAGACTGATATGAATTTAACGAAGAAGCGACAAATACAAAACAAACAGAATCGTTCCATAAAGCGGCGGCACACCGTGGGAGGACCGCACGACTATGTCGGACCCAATGGTTGTCCGCCTGCAAATAGTAACAATTGCAATCATCATCACACATGTAAGGTGACCGCAAGTGCAGGAGGCACAACCACCACAACCACAACTGTGCTCCGACGCATTCCTATACCAAGCGCTAATGGCAACATCAGCAACAACAACAATAATATCAATACAAATCTACCGCCAGACAATGGTAATGGTGGTGGCGGTGGTGGCGGCGGTGGGGTCGGAGGCGCCGGAAGTGGTAATAGTGGAAGTAGTGCCGTCAATGCCGGTGGGGCTACAGTGGCTATGACGAGTAATGCGGGAGGCGACCATGTATTAGAAGTTGGCATACGTATAAAGAATATCAACAGAAGTCGATATTAGGAGCGCTAACTAAACAAGCTAAAGCTTGTGAACTGTTGTGTGCAAAAATGTGTAAAGTGCAAGCGCAATGTAGCAAACGGAAAGAGCAAACTGCAAGAAAAGAGATATAAGAAAAAACACCAATTAGTTATTAAGTTGAAAACATAAAAGTCAGCAGCGTTCAGTTATATGTGTGTGTAAAAAATAATAAAAAATTAGAATTAGCAAAAAATTTACGTAAGAAAGCAAAAACAACAAACCAAAACAGCAATGAAAATGAAAAGCCGAGGATATTCATGCTGTGAGGCACGTACATTGGAATTGCACAAAAAGTACTGCATGCAACCTGAACACATAATTTAATTTTGAAACTGCCAGCGCTGTAAGGACAAGCATTTTTAAGAGTTTTAAAGGTAAACGAAGTAGAATTTTGTAGAATTTCATTTCCATATGCATATTTTGAAAAGTATATTTCAATACTTGTATGCCTACGTACTTGAAAATTTATAAACAAAGAAATTCTTTATTGGAAATATGGCTCATTTGCTGGACGAAAGTCAGACCCCAAAAATAAAGAAACCCTTGTTTTTAACCAAGGAATGCATCTTTTATGTTATATAAGAAAGTCATGACTATATTTCTGAAATATGTTGGACCCATGAGAAATAATTAGTCTTTTCCACTTTGATTAGCAACTAAAGCTACAAAAAAATTACTCTCCGGCCAAAGTAAAGAACTAAATTGAGGCTTGATTTAGCTGTATTTGTTTTTTTAGATTTTGAGTTTCAGACTAAAAACTTAAAGGTCGGGTTTTGAAGATCTTGCCGTTCGTCCAGCAAACGACTTTAATATTTACTAAAATTTCGTAGGTGGATAGATTATAGATACGGATTATTTACCTACGCCCAAGAAAACTTTAAATTTTTTCTTTGTTGCCTTCTTGATGCTCTTCTGGCTGAAATGCTGCAGAAATTGCGCATTGATGGACGAGCAACAGATTGTCAAAATTTTGTTCATCACACGGCTAATGGATGCAGAGTAGCTCAAATTTTCGAGTAGAACGAATAGAAATGTATCATGTTGCAAATTTGCTTCAGCGCTGGAGTATTGTCGCCTTTATTATGAGCCCGCTCCTTCATAAAAAGTTAACACTACCGCATTATCGAAGTTCAAACACACCCTAGTTTACTTTAAAAGTCCAGCTTTGAACAAAAGTCGGTGGGTTATTCATTAAAAACATAGTCGAATTTAAAATCATCTACAACATTATTAAATCAATTCAAATTTCTAATGAAATAGTGTTTTGATTAAATTCGAAGATTTAAAAGTTATTTATTTTCCTTGTAAGAGAATTAAAATGCTGGATAGGATTTTTCTGTGCTAAAGTAAATCTGTGTATTGACTCTCGGGACTTTTGATTCGAAGGAAATTTGGTGTTATTTTCAAAAACAACTTTCCCTTACAACAGTTCCCTTCATATCGCAGCATGAATGTCCTCCATGGAAAAAAATGAAAATTATCTAAATTATTTAACTAAACATATTAAATGTAAATGCACTTAAAAAGATTCAACACCTCCCAACGCCTACACGTAAAACCAAGCAAATTTAATGGTAAATATACAAAAACATGTGCACACAAAAGAGATATTTATAAATATAAGCATAAGAAAAAGAAATCATAGTGACGATATAGCATAAAAGCCAACAAAAATACCTTTGGATTGAAATTGGAATGTGTTGCAAAGCAGTTCACTCAACAAAAGGTGTTGTTTTCTCACAGAGGTCAAATCTCTAATTCTTTTTTGAGATAGGGAACTTAATGGAGGGGAATCAGGCGCCTACAAGTACATATGTTATATTCCAAGTGTTAGCACTGAATTTGGGAATACATTTGTGATTTGAAAATTTCAATTAAATATTAGTATAGCGCAGGCTATGCTTCAGGCATACGTATACTTAAAAGTCGCTCATAAATGAGCTACTAGTCTCTTAACCATGAACGAAAGACACAAGATCACGCGGGAAGGAAAGAACGAAAAAAGTTATTTTCTAGCTGCCGAAATCTCGACGCCATCCTTGTTGTAAGAAGTAAACAACGAAGAGAACGGAGAAAACCGCGAAATTGTTGAACGCATGAATAATCATTTTTATTATGCAAATTTTTCTGTAAATCATGGCGTTGTGTTAAATTATTCTTTATCTTTTGTGTACACACGTTGTCACAAGCGAAAATGAAGAAAATTGCAGTAAAATGCCACTACCAAATTGTAAACAACGAAGAAATGTAAACAAACGGCTAATGTCAAAATCGTTCAACTTTTTTCCTAAATGCGATTCTAACGGGCTACTCTCCTGCCAGCGTGATCTTGTCTTTTTGGTTCATGTCTCTTAACGAATATTTTCAGCCGTCAAACCGCGCCCATAGGACTTAAGTTAAAAACCTTTCACGTGCGCAGACTCATGGCGTTTTCATTTCTACAAACAAGTTTGCCTTTTCATTGAAATTAGATGGCAATATTTTTCGATAGAAAAGAAAACACCACAAATAAGCATCGTTTGACCATTTCAGCTACAAGTGCTGGCATAAGTCTATACCTGTTCGTCGTAAAATTTGCTCTTCTTATTAAAATACATTAGGGGAATTCGCTCTTATGTGTATTCTTTTTATGTTGTGTAAATGTAACTGCATGATCGTGTGATTTGTTGTTGCTAGCGGTACATCAAATACACATGCAAAAACAATTACACGCTCGTCCAGTTACACTTGCGCAGGATACAGCGAATACACAGAAGCTCGAGCTCCACTATTGTTGTTGTCGCTAATTGCGTGCTTTTTTATGAGAAGCTGTTTTTCATGGCAGAAATACACTCGGAGGTTTGCCATTGCCTGCCGATGGGCGACCGCTGGTAAGAAAAAACCTTTTTTCTACACCATAAAAAATAAAAACAACGAGGACCCCAGAGACTATACTTCAATACTAAGGCCGCCGAGTAAGTTTAAACCACAGTCAGGTTTAACTGACTCCAACTCAACAAAAACTTTCTCACATTCCAATTTCGACACAAATGGGCGCATAATTGTGCTAACTAGTTATACGAAAAGTACTTGCATATATGTATATTTTTTGACATGATGTTTTCTTTCAAATCCAAAAATAAGTGTTGTACATACGTATGGCTGGCGAGTAGTAAAGTTCAAAAGATAATAGCAAAGCGAATAAAGCGCGATTTTTTTGTTTGTTTGTTTGTTTGTTATTAAATTAGCAATTTTTTGCTATTTTTGGTGTTATTAAATTAAGTATTGAATAATTTTAAACAATTAAATTGACTTGCGTTGTTGTGTTGTTTAAAAAATTTACATTTAAAGAAATTTAATTTTTACATTTGGTTTCAGACTTCTCGTTTGTACATTGTGAGTTTGCGGCTTAGAGAAAAAGAATTGATAAAATGTAAAAGAATAAGCCAATGTAATTCCATATAGATACGAAGTGACATTCTTAGGAATCGTCACCATTTCTTTAATGATGCAAAAGTAAAAACGAGCTTGAGTAAGGGCTTTAAAATTAGCGTAATTCGGAATCCATTTAAAAATTGTTGGTATTTATTATAAAAATAGAGATTATGATTTAAAAACGCGAATCATGTGCATGCAACTAAAATTAATAAATTGTATTATACATTTAAAAAGTCTCGGAGATTAGTTATGTGTATTCGCTGAGCTTGGTATTTGGTATGTATGTATGTGTTATGTTGCTATAAATATTTTAATTTAAAACAGATTATTTAATTGTTTTTTATTATTATATTATAAATATATTATTATTTACGAAGTACCCCTCTCGTATGTACGTATGTATGTATGTATGTATGTTTGTGTACATATATGTATGTAACATAATAATAATTAATTATCATTATTGATTCGATGATAATAATGCTTGTATTAAACTATTTACAATTTAATTATAAATATTATTTTGATGATTGATTTGAATTACATTATACGCGATTAGGTTTACTTGCTGTTATTTGATTACGAATAAAAACTTAAGTTGTATTTCCATGCAAGCAAAAATTCATGTTTGGTCACAGCAACAAAGAAAGGTAGGAAAATATACATATATTATTATTTTCTAAGTATTATCTTCGTTTTGCTTATGGCTAACGCATTCGCGATAGGAACAACGTTAGATACTAGCGTTGAGGCAGCTAAGGGATTGAAGAAGAACGTATTTGAATTACATATGTATGTATATTAAAGAGAGTAATGCATGTGAATTTAGTTTACAATATTTTGTGTTCCCCCCTTTTGGAAAGTTGACATAGATACATATATATATTGAAGAAGCGTCGCAAGCGCTAAGTGTAAAGTAACACAGTAGAAATTGTATGTAGCACCATATACACACAAAAATGCGTATATATATACAAACCAATATATGTATTTACCTACCTATTTACCTATAAATGTATGGATTTATTTTGTGTAATTACGTATACATATAAAATAAAATGAAGTAATTAAAAAAATTAAAAAAAAAATAACAAGTACATAAACATGAATAAAAGAAAAAAAAAACTATAAAAAGTTTGATTATGATAATATGCAAAACAGCTGTCATTACGAAAGAAAAAAAAAGAAAACATATGTGAAGAAAAACAAAAGGTGAGAAAGGTCTTGAGTGCACACTCAAATATACACAAACATACACGCATCAATATTATCAAAAGTAATAAAAAAGAAATTACAAATTTAGAAACGAAAAAAATAATAGTGGTTTTATTTTGTGAAAAAATTGGCGAATAACGACACTACTTCGAGAAATTGACTTAAAAGTAATACCAACGGAAAACGCTTCAGTTACAATTATTACTTTTGTTGTGGTTATGTAGTCTTCTAGGTGCGGTAACTGTAGACGAAGCTCCAAAACGTTCGTTTTCTTTTGGTTACAGTCAGCGATTCTGTAGTTAAAGTAAGTAATTATCGTTATTATCCACATGCACATTTTCTTTATTAATTCGGGCATATGAGATAAAATGCAAGCTAAAATAATTTTTTTTCCGTGTAATTAAAATAAAAAGTATTTTAAATCAGCATAAAAAACTGAAATTTATTTTTAAAAGCATCAGAATATATAATTTTCTTTAAATCTGCACGAAAAATCCTCTAAAACCCCGGCACGATCATTTTGTCGCAAGCGCTCGCAGGGTTCAGCGAAAAAAACACGGTTACACATTTTAAGATTTCCACCAGGCGCGCAGAACCGCCCAGCAGGCGGCTGCCGCAACAAATGTTGCGCGCGCAACATGTTGCGATCATGTTGCAAGTGCCGAGTTGCTAGCGGCATGTTGCTGGCACTACATTACCAGCCATGGTTGCTGGTGGTGCTGCCAGATCTGCAGTAAAAGTTGAAATTTAAATTTTGTGAATTTAAAGCACAAAAATGCGGTAGAATCAGGTTCAATTTGAGTAATATACAGCCGGGCTCCCATTTTCATTTACTTTTGCGTTTTGCGTTTTCGTAAAAATCGTACATTTTTATTTTTGGGTGCCCTTGAATTCGCAACTTTTTGTTATCGATAAGTTCCATTTTCCACATCGTTTCCAGCATTCTTAAAAGCCATCCCTTGAAGGTATGCAACAATTATCGCACATGTATCGTCCGCACCAAATCGTAAATTTCGTTGCTTCGATAAATTTTCGTTGCCCAAAATGGAGGTGTGTATAATAAATAGTGAATTAAACAAATAAAATCAACATAAAAAGTTAATTTTAGGACGCCAAAAATATCGCAAGATATAATGGGCATAATCAAAAATAAATTTAAACTAAGCTAGCTTGGTATTTATGTTAATTTTGCCATTTACTTTTCATTCCACCGTCTCATCGGCAACCGATTTGAAACCACAAAAATTTTCCGATTTGCGAAAATTGGAGCACGTAATTTTGCGATTTGAAAACTAAAACGCTAAATTTTTGCGAATTCGGAAACGGGAGCCCGGCTGATAGTCTTTTGTGGGGCTTCAATGTAATAAAAGTCCTATAACCTCAATTTTTATAATTTTGCAGGGTTATTTCCTCAAATTTACGCAGTTTCAACTACAGGTTAATAACACTGCTTTATCGACTCTAGTACAGGTGGCATCGCAACAGCTGTGCTACTTGGAACAGCTGTTCCATGTCAACAAAAGCAAAATAAACAAAATGCTGCGACGATCAGATTTATGCTTGAAATACAATACCGGCGAATGGCAAACTTCGCCGAATTGGGCGATGCTGTCGGTCACCGTTCGCCCAACTATTTCGCCTACTTAAACAGAATTAGAGCGGTAGCGAAAACAGCTGATCCCATTTGGTCGCCTTTATAATTTGGGTGACCATATTTAGAAAAAACTAAACCATATTTAGAAATGAGGAAATGATAACAAATATAAATGTAAAACAAAGAAAGATTATTATAAATAATTTGTTTCAAGCCAGATTTAACGAATCCACAACTATATTTTTCAAACAACAAAAAAAAATCGTGTTTAGGTTGTTTTCTTTTTAAACTTTGAAAGCAAAAAACAAATACGGCCACCTTTGGCACGCACAGCTGTCATCGCCCAGCAGAGCGATAGAAATAAATCTATCGCCATGAAACGCCGCCAAGCGAACTTCGCATTTCGCTTTGGCTGTGTTCAATTTCATATGCTTGCGGGTGTTCTAATTTTGACAGCGCGAATTTCGCTGTGGTGAGTTCGCCGTTCGCCGGCATTGTATTTCAGCTATTATCTTTTATTTTCATAATTTTTCAACGTCTGGAAGTGTTTGGATGGAGCTAAATTTATTTAAAAGAAAATACATTTCATAACGCTGAAGCCGTAATTGAAAACGGATGCGAGTGAAATTCCACGAGTCGTGACATGCTACAGTAGAGTTGGCCGTAGCCTGCCCAATGGCTCAACTTAGCTTATTCACAGCAGCGCTTCAGCTTGGATTCCGGATGCGTCAAATCATGCGCCTTACATCGAGTATGGTCTTACCCTTTGCGGCATTTTGCTGAGTGCCGAAATTGTGATGCACTGAAAGAGGCGGAGTTGTCTGAAATCTCTGAAAAGATAATAAACAAAATGTTGGCAAATATGTTGCTTGACTTCCAAGAGGATTAGAAGGATCCCTCACTCCATAATCAATTTAATTAATTTTTTAATTCTTTATTTCATTTTCTTTTCTTACTTGCCTACTATTAGTTATTTATGCGAAAGTAACAAAAAATTCAGCATTTGAAGTTAATGGATTTTCACAGCTTCGCATTTGGGGCAGTGCCGCTTATCTTATAAACCATTTCGTGGGCTTTATCATAGTGCGGATTGCAGCCGGCGCGAACGCGTTTTAGCCATGCTTTGATTTTTGGATATTTTATGCGCACATCATAATCAGCCAAACCTAGTAAGAGAAACAATGTGGGTATATACAAATTTATTAAAAAAATAATCTTAATAACGATTTCGTTCTTTTTACTTTTTAATTAATTTTTCTTTTTAAAATTTAATTTTCTACTAATTTCTAGGTTTTAATGTTTAAAAAAATATATATATACTCTTTAAATTAATTTATTTCTTTAGAAACTTGTATGCAATTTTTCCTTGTTTTAAATTTGCTTTTAAGATTTTTTTTTTTTTTAAAGAAAAATATTTTTTTTTTATTCAATTAAATTTTTAAACTTTTATTTTATTTTTCTTCTTTTTTTTTCAATTTAATTTTCTCTTAATTTTTAGATTCTGTTATTTTATAAGGAAATTATTATTTTTCTTCTTTTTTAATTAAATTTTTTTATTTTGTTTTAAAAAGAAAAATACTTTTTTTAATTTGATTCAATAGTTAGGAACTTATTTTTTTATATTCTTAAGTCGCACGTTTCATAATATAGAGATGTAACTCAAAATTTACGTTTTTGAAGATTTCATTATGCAATTAATAAGTTTGATAAGTAGAATATGTTCAGTCTAACAGATAACTTCCCAAATATGGTGAAGATATGTTTCTTTTTATCTGTCTTTTTGCATACCAACTGTATGAATTCATAAAACTTTGATTGCGTTTCCCACAAAATTGATATGTATTTTGAAATATGTACTTCGTTATATTATTCAACGTGCGATATCTTATTTTTATGTTATTTATTTAATTTAATTTATTTTTTTAAAAAGAAATTTAATTTTTAGTTTCATTTAATTTTAAGAAACTGATCAAATTATTATTTTTTAATTTAATTACCTTCTAATTTTCTTTCTTAATTTCATTTAGTTTTAACGAACTTTTTTTTTTTTTTTCATTTTCAATTGTTATTTCTTTTTTATTTAATTTTCTTTTGATTTTTTCATTTTATGGTTAAAAAAAAAATTTCAAAATCGTTTAATTTTATATTTTTTTTTCTTTTTTATATAATTTCATGTTTTTTTTTTATCGACTTGGTGTTCTTTTAATATCGTTTAATTTTGGAAAACATATTTCTAAAAGACAAACAGAGTAAAGCTAAGACCTTCTCGTTACCAGATCTTTCAATTAGTCTTTCGAAGGACACAAAAGAGCTTTCAAGAAAGAGCTTACGGAAGACTTTTGTAATGCAAGAGACTGGGGTGAGTTGAAAGACTTATGCCAACTTCAACTGCCAGCTTCAACTTGTCACCTACTTACGTGTCTGTTCGATTTCGCAAGCCGCAAAAATATCGGCCACTGTCAATCGTTGTCCGGTTAGGAAGTCGGTTTTTGCCAGCCACACATTCTCGATGATATCCAAATTGCCTTCCATTTGATTTTTGAGTTTTTCAATTTTCTCAGTCGTCGGACGATTTCCGGTGAGCAAAGGATCTAACCAAATTGTGCGGAAATAAAGGGCGCAAGAGATGCGTAGCGTGTTGTGCTGCCATTCGAGAAATTCATCCACCCGCGCTTGCTCCAAGAAATATTTCGGATAGAGATATTCGGGAATTTTACCTTTTGCGCTGAGGTACCTTTAAATGGGATATAACTAAAAAATGTTTCATACCTTTGAGTTGATTTTTATCTTACCTTAATACGGCAATACTTTCAGCCAATTTGAAACCATCATCATTAATGCAGGGCACCCGCTGGAAACGATTGATATTTTGCTTGAACTCTTCAGTTAAGTGTTCACCTGCGACGAAAGAAAATATTTATTATGAAGTATCGGTTAAGAAAAATAAAGCATAACTTGGGAATCTTTGCTAACCCTAAGGCTTGTCCACCGGTCCATCATTATTTCTGTCGACAAATCTGCCGACTACGGTTTCGACGGTTTAAAAAATAAAAATTTAAAACAACGATTATTCTTGATAAAAAAATAAAAATCAATAAATTTTACAAAAAAAAAAATTACGATTATTCCTTACCGAAAAAATTAAAATAAAAAAATTACTTTTTTTCAATGATCAAAAAATAAAAATCTTAGTATTTGACGCTTATTTTTGGTCCCTGATACGTGCACAACGTACTTAAAAAACTTCTTGGGAGATTTTTATATTTAGATCTCTACAAAATCGTAATTTTTTGATTTTTATTTTTTTTTATCATTTTCAACCATTATGATGGGGACTCCGTTTTTATGACCGATTTAAGTCTTTTATGATCAAAAAAGTTAAATCTGACAATAACGGTTATATGACCGAAAAAATAAAAATCATAAAATAACGTTTAAATGTGATCAGAGAAAAATAAATCCAATTGGCACTGTTAAATTCTGATGTTTATTATAAAGATGATGACCGTTAAAGTCCCTGGATTTTACTGTTTTTTTTTTCATCGAACAAACCGATTTCTTCATTTCATATAAATCTTGACCTCTCAGAAAAATTTTGAGTTTTTCCAAGTTTTCAAGGGGGTTTCCAGTTTAAAATTATATCCTATGTTATTTGGGGAGGAACCGTATATCATATTTGATTCAAATAAATGAATGTTTGTCGCTTAAGCGTTTTCTATGTGTTTGGCCGAGCTTCTTCAATTCGTGTTCTGCTTCTTGTAGCAACGTAAGTATTTTCACTGTATGAAAACTATGTAAAATGAAACCGGTTTAACCGTCTTTTTCCAATTTCAATTTTTCAAATAACTTGAAAACCGGTTTTGGAAAAAAGGCAAATAATCGAATCCCCCATGGGCCAACGAACCATCGCTGATAAGCTGTGAATATCAGCAGCAGCAGATAGCTGCAATCTTAATCAAGATAAACCCGTGCATACATTTATATGCATTTTTATCTATGTACGTACATATGTATGTGTCTACTAACGGCAACCAGTTTCCCCATCAGCTTACCTTTTCGCAGCGCTACTGGACAATCTTCGAACTGAGCACCGCTTATTTTTAGTATGATGTGCAGTGCACGCGATGGCTGCGACATCAAATCATAATAGAATCGTAGTGACATGATCACCTTTGAACGCCGGCAAAATGACACTAAAATACCAAGATTTCTTATTAAGCTTCCACCAAACAAAGAGCACAAGAGCACAAGTAAAGAGAACGCTTGCAACGTGCGTGTGTTCGCAAATCTTAAGTGTTCGCTATTAGTTATCGTTCACACTATTTAAATAATTGGTATAGTTCGCCTTTAGTGTATTTACATCAATGTTTTTTCTCTCTTTACATGGAAAAACACCTTTATATGCTTCCGCACTTGTTGGCGTTCCGCGTTCAACTACTGGGCGCTGCAAAATGTTTAATTTGTCAGCCAATGAATTATTTGTACGTAAGCTAGCCGCTCTCTTAATCCCTTTGGTGCTCATTTTTTTGGCATACGAAAGTTAGTAATTACTTATTTATTTGTTGTTTATAAGGTTTTTTTTTTAAGAGAGTAAGAGCGCGCTGTCTTTTAGTTCTTGGTGCAAAGTTCACTTAAATAGTTAGCTTGTATTACTGCACTGCCTAATTAAATAAATCTATGCAAAAATACGTTTCACCGATAATTTTTTTTTTAACAGTAAGATCTGTATAGCAGTAATTACCTAAAGCAATCAGAAAATTTATTATTTTAATTAATGCCATACGTTAACACAACATACATATGTATATATATCACGTCACTACGACGCAACGTAACCGGAAGCACCCAGATTAATATGTGGCCAAGGACTGTCACTTCAGCACCTTTCCTCAAATACCGGGAGATTAACTGGGGTTTAAATCTAAAGTACAATCTATTAGTTTCAACGCATGACTAAAAAAATTTAAAGTTGCTACTTTATCCACCTCAAGAAAGTCGTAGTCTACAACAAATATTTAATTTTTAGGGACATTTGCAAAAAACTAAAGATTTGGTTTGTATTTCTGTCTTATAGATAACGATTTTTTTTAAATCAATATTGTCCAACATTTGACCGAGATTGATAAACATAAGTGGCTTTTAAGATATGAACATTAGGGTGGTCCAAAAATGCATGTAAAAACGTAAAGTCGGAATTTATATGCTCTCAGCCCCTGGGATTGTTCTATACCGAAAAAATATACCTTATTTTTTTATTTTGAAATCAAAATATATTTAGAGGTCACTCAAAGCGCCTAAAATTTTCCATGTATTTTATATGGGGGAAAAAAAACTTTTCGTAGAAATAGTATAGAATAGTAAAAATCAATATTTTTCTACCAGAAAACTCTGTTTATCTGCAGGAGATTCCCAATAATAATAACCAATTGTTTATTTAACCATTTTTTCATCACAACTATAATTTAGAGGTCCGCCAAAAACCCACAAAATCCCGAAAAATGCAATGGGCGACCAATAAAAAATCGTTAGCATTAAAAAATGGTTAAATAAAGAATTGGGTATTATTATTGAGTCTTCTGAAGAGAATCAGAAGTTTTCCGATCGAAAAATATTGATTTTCAAGAATTCTGTACTATTTCTACAAAAAATTTTATTTTTCCCCATATAAAAATACATGGAAAACTTTGAGTGCTTTGGTTTCAAAATAAAAGTAGGGTTATATTTTATTCGATATAGAACAATCATAGAGGGTGAGAGCATTACAATTCCGACCTTACTGTTTTTGGACCACCCTAATGTACATACATACTTATGTACATATATACACTATCTGGCCGTGTAGAATGAATAAATGGAGAAGTGGCCACTGGATGACGCGCGAAATTAACATTACACATTAAAAAACAAAAACGTTTTTTTTACGAAGAACATTTTTCATTTGAATACGAGTTTAAATGCCTCGATTTCAGACTCGACTTCAGTGCGGATGGCGTCCGGCGAATACCGTAATAGTCATGAACAGGGAACAGATTTTATGGGAATTTCCTTTTTTTCTGCTAAAGAGAGAGTATGTTCGATTAAGAGTGTCCACGATTTATCTTTCCCTGATTCCATTATTTCATTCCATTTTAGGGTTTCAGGTCCTAAAAATCCGTTCCCGGGTCATGAATATTCATATTTACTAAAATCTCTAGAGCGTGTGCTGAACTTAACCTAGTCTTCAATGCTTTAGACATTGATTTCTCACAATCAGGCCCTGCCTTGGTTACACATCTGCGAACATTTTTCTCTGCGCTACACCACTAGCGATGTATTTAATCTTAGCTCTTGTGAACTTAATGTATTTAAAATTTATCTTAATTTTTAAGTTTTAGTAGCACTTAATTAGTGTTAGCTGAGTAGTCTGTAAGAATAATCTGTATTCCAAGACTGAAATAAATAAATAAATAAATAAAAAACATCATTAATAAATCCGATGGCATCAGTTTCTCTAAGTGCTGCATTTCTACATTCAAAGCAAATACGAATTTGGGCTTTAACGAAGGTTAACGAAAGCCAAGAATCATAAGTCATCCGAAAAACAGCGTACACAATATTTTTTTAAATTCATCTGTAGCAATGTGATTACCCCTTGGTTGTTTTATTACGGAAGTTACGAATATAGTGGATTGGGAGCTTATGCTATTCTTATATAAAGCAATCGAGCTGATACGTATATATCCAAACGTTGGTATAACTTAAAAATATAACTTCGTTTTTCGATCATAACAAATATTGACTGTCGCAAATTTTAACTTTCCAACGATACCATGTCGCGACAGATGAAGAAAGCTGAAATCAGTGCAGTTGTCTGCGGCGCTTCAGTGCAACCTTTTGCCAAACGTTCCTCAATACTGGCCATTTTTATAACTAACTTGTTCATAACGCCCGGGGGTAGCTCCACTGAAATTAAAAATATTGTCAATAAAGTGGCTTATTTTTTTATACATAAATAATTTGAAAACTTACAGCGCATAACAAATAAATGCAATTCTGTCAGAATATCACTCAATGCTAGTCCGCGCACAGATTTTATGCGGTGTATTTCTAAAAAGTATGGAAATAAGTTAAAACAAACATTATTGAAAACTGCGTAAAATCAAGAATGTTTCTCGGCGGGTATAACCAAAGCACAGACATTTTTTAAATAATCGCAAATTTCAATCCACTTACCATCATAAGCTTCCTCGAAACCCTCTGTTGAAAGTAAAGTTTGCAATGTACGCTCTATATCACTGCGTAATGGATGACCTACACATGTGTATACATTGTCTTCATTAACGACATCGAATGCCATTGAGGTACTTTGCAGCACATTTAGCACCTTCCGCATGTCACCTTTGGAAAGTGTCATCAATGCTTTCTTGCCATCTTCGGTGACGTTGAGTCTACAAAAAGATTCGTTTACAAATAAGATATTAAAATATACTGTCGAGACTTACTTCTCCTGCTCAATAATCTTATCCAGACGTGGTAGTATTTGCTCGGGTGCCAGTGGCGCAAATCGGAAACGCGTACAACGCGACTGCAGCGCTGGTATAATTTTGCTAAGATAATTGCAAATAATACAAAATCGCACATTCTCCGTATACTTTTCAATTATACGACGTAGCGCATTTTGTGCATCATTCGTCATAGCATCAGCTTCATCCAAAATAATTAATTTGAAGGTGCCGCTGAAGATGGTGCGTGTAGATGCAAAGTTCAAAATTTGCCCACGCACAATGCCAATACCACGATCATCTGAAGCATTCAATTCCAGTACCATTGATCTAAATTGTGCTGGATTATAGAGTTGCTTAGCGCAGGCGAGAATTGTGCTGGTCTTGCCAGTGCCAGGTGGGCCATAGAAGAGCAAATGTGGCAGCTGCTTTTGTTCGATAAAACGATTAACTGCCGGAAAATAGATATAGACATAAAATACAAGCATTATTCAATGCATATCAACTTACTTGTAGAAATTATTTCCTCGTGTGATATTAGATCCTCTAATTTGGAAGGCCTATACTTTTCCACCCTACAATAAATAAGCAATGGTTAAACCATACATTTTTCAAAAATGTATGTCACTCACCATGGCATGCGACATTCTCTTTCTGTTTTCTCAGCCATTTTCGGATATTTTGCAAAAACCAAGAGCTGGTAAATATAAATAAAAATTAAATGCAAATTGGCGCCGGCAACTGTCACAACCAAACAGCTGCTTTGCGACGTGCTTGAATAGTTGTTGGTGTTCATGCAAGGGTTGCTTTTCAGATAAAGCATTGCCATGTACAAAAAATTAAAAATAGGGCTCTTCATCAGAAGTGATAAACTGTTGAAAAACTTGATAAAATGATAATTTTTCAGGCATACCTAAAGAATACCGACCCTTGAGCTAATGGCAAACTTTTATATAAATTTCAGCAAAATTCAAACCTGACAAATTGCCAGGTCGTCGCTTTTGCTACGAACACATAAAAAGCAAGTGGACACAATGCACGAGGTAAGAATGAAACATAACTAGCCATAAAAGTTAAATAATAAACAATTTTATGCTATTATATACCAAGGTGCGTTCTTGAAAGAATGCGGATAAACTGATTTAAGCAATTTATCCTTTTATCACTTTAGATGAAGACCCTTCATATTGTTACGATTATCCTTGTTTAATGGACGGACTTCCCCAAATCCTTTGATTTTGTACCACTGGATTGTTACACAAATGCTTAAGATGGCCAAATTACAGTACAACTAACTTAATTGTACAACAAACACTTTTACAATACACGTTAAAGCAATTACAACACTTTACGAAACTTGTCGACACAATTGATCTGATTTGCAATTGAACCAGTAGCTTTCTGATTCTTCTGGAGTGCTGTAGCAGTGGCCTTATGGGCTGTTTTTGCTTACGCGAAAAAGCACATGTAACGCATTTAGCTCTAAATGCTACTCTAAATGCACATCTATCCATACAAAATTCGTCACCTAAATGCAACTTCATTTCTGCATTAAGAAACTAAATGCTAAAAGCAACCCTGTGATCTCCGGAAAATACCACGATTCGAACATGGACAATGCTAGCTGCGTTTAGGTGGTCGCATATGGAGATTTCATTTATTATTTTACATTATTTTAATTAAAAAAAGTCCCGCTAATCCAACATCGATGTGATGCTGATAGAAATCTGGATCAATTTGTGATCAACTCTGTTTGTTTTGTTTCATAATTAATTTACTATTGTTTAATCTTTATTTTTATTTTTATTTTTCATTTTTGAGTAGTTTTTTATTTTTCATTTTTGAGTAGGTTTTCTTTAGCATGCTTCTTCTCCGTGCGAACTGGTGGTGGTAGATACGGATCTGAATAAGCGACTGGAACACGGCCGTTTGTCGAAATCATACAACTTCGAAATCGCGTAAATGTGCATTTGGTTAATACGATAGCATGAACGCTTTTCGAAAATATATATTCGAAAGTGCTAAATGTTGCATTTTAAATGCAGTAAAAACGCTGCATTATATACCCGCGCTCGAACCCATGGCACCTCTAGAACGTAATCGCCCTCCACTTGACGTTTGTTGCTGTCGAATGTTCTACGCCACTACGATAGTACCGGCACTCGATAGTTTTCGAAACGATAGTTGAAAAAATCGATAGTATCGATAGTACTATCGTCGTGAAAGGTATTGAATTGAAATGCTTAAATGCTTGATAATTAAATAGTTAATATTTTTATAAATTTATAAATTACTTTGTAAATTAAAAAGATTATATAATTTTTTTTTTTGATTTGGGTGCATCAAAAAGAACTTCTTATAATAATAAAATAAACTTATTAATATACGCGTCTGTATTATATATACTTATATACATACACTTGCATCCACTTGAATAGTTATAGGCAAAAGCTGAACTTATTTTTTATGTGGGAAAATTTAATTTGGATTTTGTTTGTCCCTTTTGAAGTACAAAGAAGTGAAATTGGCTATAATAATACATCTCTAATACTACAAACCAAATAAAAAAGAAGATATTCGTTTAAATTGACAACTCATACTTATAAAAATTCAACTGAGCTCAAATACGTAGGCGCATATCAAAATCCGGACAAGGGAAATTATTAATATTTTACCATATTATAAGAAAATGAATATAGTACAGGTCAAAATTATAGCACCACAACA